TTTTGATTGGTTAAAGGTAAAACAGGGTAATCTCGCAAAATGTTTGGCTTCATAAATCTTTTATTTACATTAAGTATTTACAATAAATCAAAATTAGAGCAGAATTCATTCGTCATAGGTAATAATTAGTAATATATGTATGTGTAATATTTGCAATAGGGAACCCATCAATTGATTTGGTCCTCTATATTATATTTGATTCTGAGAGTTTATTCAAACAATATTTATATCAATTAGACTTTATTACCGTGTTCTATCGCAAATAAGCACATCCTGCTATCCCAGCATTTAAAAATGGGTAGAATTAGAATGGTACTTATTTACGATAGAATACGGTATACCTCTCTAGTTTTGTAAATTATATTTTATACTGTAAGTCAGTAGACCGACATACAACTAAAAGTCTTGAATGTAACGATAATAAAAAATTGGTTAACTGATGATAGTAAATGTTGTTTCAGCTTTAATAATAATATTCCGAGATTATGATATATAAAAATCCATGAAATATTAATAATTAACAATATAACTAATGCTAAATGATAAATACATTGTTTATACACTTATTATTATATCTAATGAGTTAAAATATGTATAAATCGCCAAGTAATTTGTATGTATTTAATTCTAATTAAACATGAAGTGGGAAAATTGTCCATTATTAAAAATATATATATTATGCGGGAATGCTTCTCATCATTTTGTTGATGTCTATAAATTTGATAGAACAACAATTATTTTCGTGTCACGAAATCTATCGGATTTATTATATAAAGTTAATTTTTACCACTCATTGTAATCGACATATCCATGTTTAATTCTGCGGATGATGCGGATGATTGTTCATGTATTGAATTTTTTTTATTTTTATTATTTTTAATATTCACGCTTGCTGTAAAGTAATGAATTTATAAGAGCAGGTTAGCCTAAAAGAAACATTAAAAAAAAAAGGTTTTTTTTATATTAAATGTATTAATTGAATATCAAACCTTTTAACGGAGAATAAATACTACCCTGACTAGTAAATTTACTTATAGGACGACTATAATAAACCGCGTCAGGGTGTGTATTTGTGAGAATTTCATAATGAGAGTTTCTTGATCTCTTTGTGATCTCATTGTTGGTAGGTTTAAGAGCACCAAGATGTTCCGAATAATAAGCCCAAAGATCACCTCTTCGATCAAATATTATTTCATGAATTTCTTGTGCAGATGGACGGTTAAAAGGATCTGTATCCCAACATCTTTTCATCAAATCGCAATACCATTCTGGCAATCCAGAAACAATTGGTGGACGTACACCATCACATATATCACTAACCAACCTATGATCGTGTGGCCGATCACCAAATGGTTGTTTTCCGGAAGATAACATCCACATTATCATGCCAAAACTATAAATATCTGCCGCTGCAGTATAAGGAAGTGCCTGAAAAATTTCAGGAGCAACAAATGGTATCACACCATATATTTCTTTAGAATACGGTGGTTCGTTCACCGGTGTATTTAATCCAAGATCTGATATTGCTAAGCCATTAATATTTAAAGATCCATCGATCCAAGAAGATTTAGCAATTAATATATTCCCTGGATGAAAGTTCTTGTGAACCAACTTTCTTTTATGGATTGAGTTCAATTCTGAAATTATATCGGAAAGAATTAGCAATTTATCGCGTAACTTCATATCCGTGTACCTGTCAGCTAACAGAGCTCGTAGATCTCCTTGTTCATAGTAATTAAAAACAAGAATATATTCCTTTGTTGAAGGATGTTGAGATAATCCGTAACATTTAGGAATGGAAAAATCATCATATGTTCTATAATTGAGAAGCTTTTCGAAAAAAAAAGAAAAGTCAATTAGTGTTATGAATCGGAGAAAAAATGTAATTGATTAAAAATCGATTATTGTTAATTTATTAGTTAATTTATTTTTTTTAATATAATTTTAATTTAAAATAATTTAACAACAATACTGAATATAATAAAGATTTTATTAAAAAACTAATCAATATAAACAACAACCACTAATTGATTAATCGATTTATTATAATCGATTAGTTGTCAACTCAGCCAACTAAACGATTAATCGATTTTCGATTCATATCAATACATTCTACTCAAATTCGAAACGAAAAAAAACAAGCCCAAATCATGTTTGGAATAAAATTTACCTTATTCAACACAGATGAATCAATATTTTGAGAATTTTTGAGATGTTTGAGTGCGACCTTTGTGGTACAATTCCTGTGAACCCATACTGGAGAATTTTCGATCGTATATAAAAGATCGATTCTATTTCCGTCCCACGTAGCAGAACATACTGTATTAAAACCTCCACGTGCTACCTCTTTAATGTCAGAGAATTGATCAAAGGGAATCCATAATAAACAATGATGTAATGTGGTAGAAAGCGTTTGAGACTCGCGAATAAATGTGTCTATTTCCCGATTCCCACTAGTCCAATTATTAGGGAAAAGACATGTCGAACACCATTTCTTGCCTTCTTTAGGTTTTTTGCATTCGTTGCATGTGTCCGATGTTTGTTTCATTAGATCTTCAACACCTTCTTCTCCTGATCAAGATTAACAATCAATCAAGTCATACAGATACAAAAATAGAAATTGTTCTTAACAATAGTTAAAAACCTTACCATATGCTATCTTTTTTTTCGTCATCACTTTTGCAATTTTAAAAATAGTGGTGTGTAAAAATCCACGAAAAACCATCTTTCAATACGCGTATTTAAATTATTCAAAGGAAAGGAAATTGCGTGAAAATGAATGGTTCTTCTTAAAGGATTAATAAAGATAGCTATACAAAGATCTTGAAACAAAATTCTTTGGGAAATTATGGATTGATATTTTAGTCTTTCATCGCGCGTTTATATCGAAAAAAGAACTTTATCTATATGCGTTTCATAATAAATATGACCAATTACTTTGACGCGTCAATATTTAGGTATTTTATTTTTTGCTTGCTTTTCGTGTCACAAGCTTATACATTGAATTCATTATTGGTTTCATGGTAAATCTAGCATAAAAATATACAACTTAATATTTCTATTAAATAGCATATGAATTATAGGATAAGATAGAATGTAAATGTAGAACGTTGAATGTTATGTTTGCTGACAGAAATAAACTCGATGATTCCTTACGTGAAACGTCAAAACATAAATAACTTTACTGCACATTCAAAAGATAAAATTTTTCATTATTCTCATTTCACCGGGCAACAGTAAATCTCACAAATATAGTTTATCGAGTCTCAGGGTTTGCTTACGCATGCAAAAACATTTTAGTTATGCGTTATTGAACCATTAAGAATCATAGTTATATCATATACAAAACAAGGTTATCAAACTGTAAGGATCCTTAGGAAAAACAACTTATGCATCATATATAAACAAGAACCAAGGTTGTTTATTTTAGTCTAGCTTGCGATTTGCTGCATCTTTACGCATAAATATGCACTCCCTGCTTAATGCCGTGTTAAACGACACACCAGTAAAGAGTGGTAAAGAATGTCTTTTTATGGGCCTTAAATAGGAAGTGGCTACGTAAATTGATTAATTATTTACTTATCCTTACATCAGATTTAAGAAATTTGAGAACTTTAGATGTTCTTTATTCTATGCAATTTACGTTAATTATGTATAACTACATATAATATATAGTATGCACGGAGGGAGCTTCTAATGTAATGTTATCTGATCGGAATCACTAACCACATTGGTATATAAACAGTAGTTCATAAAGCATGTACGTATAATCATCTGATGTAGGGTTGTTTAATAACGGATATTTTGAATTAAATATATACCAAAATATCATTCTCTGGTTCTTTTTCTATTAATATTCATTAGAATTCCGGGTTAAAGTCACCCAAGAAGCTATATTAATGGCCACGTGATTAAAATTAATAGTATAGTTTGGATGACTTGAGCACGGGTTAAAACAGAATTTCCCGAGAGGCTTGATTAATTAATAAAAAATACACTTACAATATATATTGTTTTTGAAGTATACCTCCCTTACAGAAGGTAACACTTGCATATTTCCCTTCGACATCTAAGCAACAATTTGATTATGACATATCATACATATAGCGATAGGAACTTTTATTCATTATATTAAATTTATAAATGTTATATAACAAATATAAAATTGACAAATAGAACATTGTTATATAATAATGTTATATAACACTGTCTACCACTGTTTGCACCACTTAAAAAAAATTTCCTTATGACAGCGTCAAGGAGTACAATGATTGGCCAATGAATGGTTTCTATATATCTATAAAATTGTAACTTTTGAACAATTCGTAATTTCATAAAAAAAAAAATATTAACTCACGAAATTACCACATTAAGTATCTCCAAAGAATCACGTGTGCACAATCACGCAGACCGTTCTGTGGTGTAACGGAATGTAATGATTCGGTAATTCGAAAAAGTATTAAGGGCACTTTAGGACAAAAGCATTTTTCCACAATTGTAAGGGCGCATTACAATTGATCTATTGCATTGAGCTTTGGTTAAATCTAGGAATTGAGCCCGTATCAGGTTAAACGGATAGGTCATTTGAGTAAATATCAAGGTTGTGAATGGTGAGTTACTATCGGTAAATTACCAATAAAATTAACATATTGTAAGTCTTTGAGTTAATCATAAATTTGTTTTGCATTAAATCAAAAGAAGGAAAGAATGAGATTGGGATGGGGGCTGGTTAACGAATATAATGCGAGAGGGATTTTGGTATAGTAACTTGGTAAAATTTGCAAATTAAAGTGATTTTGCAAAAAATTCTTGCTAACGGATTAACCAATCAGGTGTAAATACAAATTACTCTACGCATCGGTTCGGCATATAAAAACCAATCAAATCACAAGATATACAGTATCATGCAAAAATCGCTACAAAAAATAGAATAACATTTACGTATAAAAAACTTTTTTTGCACAGCATATTTGTGCCGAATTTTCACTGTCATGCAAAAGTTTATTTCGATAATTAATCTTTAATCTCCAATCTTAAGCAAGGGTACATTGTTTTTTTTTTTGTTTTTTGTTTTGAAAGCGAGGTCTTGCCTGAGTTTATTTGTTATAAAAGTTATGTGATTACATTTACAAAGAAGTGCATGACATATACTCTATTAGCTAAACTAAGACTTGGGCTACTTTACCCATGACCCAAACTTTGTTAAGAGAGGCCAAAGCTTCGCCTAAACTATGCTATATGTGAGAGATTTGGATAAGTCTTCTGTTTGTATAGGAGACTTAGTTTGTTGTACTGATATATTTGTAGTTGTATGATCTATTTTATCATTGTTCTTGTTTTTTCTTGTAGGTAGGAAGATTTTCCAAGTTGGCTTTGGGAGAGATGGGAGTGCTAGGATTGAGTCTGAAATATTGTTGATTGTAAAGTTGTGGCATAAAATTTTGAGAGTTTTAGCTACTGTTGTTTGATTAGTAATAGGTAGTGTTATTTGTGATGTGTTAATATTATTATTTTGTAGATACTTGTAAATTTCTTTTATTTTGTCTGGTATTGTAGGTTTTGTTGTTTCTGCTATATTTGTATTATTGTTATTTGTATTAGTGTTAAGCTGGATCCATGTAGTTGGGATTTTGTGAAAGTAATAAGATAATTTTAGTAGTTTGGTTATTTCAGTTAGAACTTTGCTTGATGTAATAGGTATAGTGATACTGTATTCTGTAATAGCTTGTAGATCATCAGAAAATATAGGTTTGTCAGTAGAGTTGGCTGTTATTATTTCAAGTAGAAGTGGTATATTGAATTTATAAATAGAGTTAATTTTGTGAATGAAGTTTATAGCTTTCTGTTTATCAGTAATTGGGAATTTATATTTGTTTGTTGTTTTAATTTTGGTTGAGTTTTTGGGTAGTGGTGATTTAACATCATAATAATCATGTGATAGAATTCTAAAAGTGTAGTCTTCACATAGTCTTTTTATGATTTGTTGATTATCTCCTCGGCAGTTGTTTGGATCAAGTAGAAAGTATATTTTGTGTTTATAATTAAGATCCTGATAAGCTGTTGGTAGGAGTAGCTTGGAAGGTAGTAGATTGAAATAATTAACTAGAATTGAAGTAAACTTATAGTATTGTTATAATTGTCTTCTGTAATAGCTAAGTTCTCTCAGACTTCGTTTGTCAGTGATTGGAAACAGTTCACATGGAGGTTTTCAGAAAGAGTAGGAAGGGGATTGAGATTTATAAAGTAGTTTTCTGATAGTTTGTCAAATTGACATAAAAGATGAAGGGTAGTTACACTAGCTTTTGTTCGTGTTTTGTTTTTTATCAGCAGAGTAAATGGTAATATTTGTTGTATATGTTCAGAAATATCATTGGGCTAGTCAGATAGAAGTTGTAATCTTTCATTTATTGCAGCTTGAACTGTCTTTTGAATTTTATCATAGGTGTTTAAGGTTGTATTTTTAGTAAATACTTTGTAATATTTGATTAGTTGCATAATATGTTTTGGAGAATAGCTGCTGAAGTTGATGTTGGTTATAAAATTAAGTAATAATTTTTGTCAAAGTTTAAGATATATAGTATCTTTAGTTTTTTTGTTAGTAATAGTGATTTGGTTTGCACTTTTGTAATTCTGCAATACATTGTAGAATAGTTCTTCGTATTTGTTTTGGTATTGTAATATGAATCTTTTTGTTTTAGTGAATATAAAAAAGAAAGTATAATCTAGTGTTTGAATTTTGCTTAGATTGCTGGAAGAATACTGTTGTGTATCAGTTTAGTTTTAAATTTGTATTATATGAATTCTTATATTTCTGTACTGGTTTGCATATTATTAATTAATTTATCATAGTGCTATATAGTATTGTCATATGGTTGTGATATTTCTTTGTTAAGTTCTGTATGTATATGTTCTAGCCATTTTTGAGTAGAATTTTCATCAAGCTATATTTGATTTCTAGTGAAATTTTGTTTTGTGGCTTGGCTATAGGTAAGTATATTTGAAGTATTATGGTTTGCAAAGATTGTTGAGACTGGGTCAGTTTCTATTTTGTTTTGTGGATCCTGTATTGTATTAGAGTCAGATGTTGCTAGTATATTAAGATTGTTGTCTTGGAGTGTTTGCATATCATTATTGTTATTTTGGGTCATTTTGTTTTTTTCTACTATACTGATTTGAATATTGTCAAAACTTATTTGTATTACTTGGTTGTTGTTGTTAATCAATAATGATATCATTACATTTTTTAATAGAGATAAGCTTGATTACCCACTTTTTGTGTTGAAAAGTGGTCTTGGAAGAAGTGTTTACTGTCTTTTGGCACTTGTATCTATGTAGGTGAAGTTATGTTTAATTTGTATTTTTTCTTTCCTTTGTTGTTGCTAGTATTAGTATTGTTGTTATTACTGATTTGAAGTTGTGGTTATATATTTAAAATAAATGGTATAATAGAGCCTAAAGGCTTTGTATTTTCTTTATTGTTGTTTGTTGTGTGGTTGTTGCTACTCTTTTTTTGCTTTATATTTGTTGTTTGTTGTATATGCTTTGTGTTGTGTCTAGGTTCTTTAAAGCAGTTTATATTTTATTTATTTAATTAATTATAGTTTTAACATATTTTGGATTGTTGTTTGTATTTCTTATAAAATTAGGATCTATAAGAAAGAGTTTTTTCCCAGCAAATATATATTGTTTATTTTTTTTTTCGGTATTAAGATGACCTCTTAGTTA